CTCTCTCTCTCTCTCTATCTATCTCTCGCTGGGTGTGTGCGTCACAGTCACAACATGGCGACGTCCCACCGCTCCTGTTTAAATTTGCATAAACGCGACGGACAATACCGCACGAGACGTCCCTCTCAGCCAGTCAAAACATGCGAAGATGCCCCGTTGCTAATGTTTGCATCATTTGCTGCATGAATGGGATGGAGTGGATGCTGGATCTAAACAGACGAGATCACGCGTCACCATGACAACCCTACGTAGTGTTACTTCTTGCAATTATATGTGCATTTCTGGTGGCCGGATTTATTAATGAAATCGTGTATCTATGGATGGAATGTCGGTGGAGGGAGGCTGTGATTTCTCTTCGTATTACACGTTGAATAAATTTCGATACATCAATAGTAAACACATCTGACTTTGTGCGGTTGGTAGAGCAGAGCCATATGGTTCGTATAACACTGCGCTGTCTGATCATATAAGCGCGTACAGACAGCTCGCTTGTATACAAAACCCCCCTCCCTCCCCTCCCCCTCTCTCCCCTCCCCCTCTCTGTCTCCCGTCCCCCTCTCTCCTCTTCCTCCCTTCCCCCTCTCTGTCTCCCGTCCCCTTCTCTCCCTTTCCTCTCGTCCCCCTCTCTCCTCTTCCTCCCTTCCCTCTCTCTATCTCCCGTCCCCCTCTCTCCTCTTCCTCCCTTCCCCCTCTCTGTCTCTCGTCCCCCTCTCTCCCCTTCCTCCCCTCCCCCTCTCTGTCTCTCGTCCCCCTCTCTCATCTTCCTCCCCTACCCACTCTCTGTCTCCCGCCCCCTCTCGCGCCTTCCTCCCTTCTCCCTCTCTGTCTCCCGTCCCCCTCTCTCCTCTTCCTCCCCCCNAGAGAGCGAGAGAGAGAGAGAGAGAAGAGAGAGAGAGAGAAAAGAGAGAGAGAGGCAAGAGAGGAGAGCAGAGAGCAAGAGAGCTAAAGAGGCAATGAGGAGAGAGAGAGAGAGAGAAGAGAGAGAGAGGAGAGAGAGAGAGAGCAGGAGAGAGCCAGGCGAGAGCTTCTCTGGTGTGCTAACAAACCATCTCCCCACACCAGCAGCAGCGCAGCACTCAGTGCAACACGCACGCTAAGCGCGCGAAACATCGGTGCGAAGCTCTCCGCCCGCGCCGCGTACTTGTTTTTGCGGGCCTTTGTTGTTTCGGAAAGCTGTCCTGGGTCGGCCGATCCGTGCGTCGGTTACCGCCTCTAGGACGCCGCAATCGGACAAGACGCCCAGCCAGAAAAAAGCGTGCGCAAGCTCCGCAGCCCTCAGCGCGGATTTGCGAGCACGCAGACGACGCGCGGGCTTGTGTGAAAAGGTTAAGTTTAAGGCGGCGAGCTATCGGCTCCATTAGCATGACGAAAAACAACTCGCGAGCGCGGGGATGAACGGAGGAGGCGGAGGGAAAGGGAGTCTGGAGGGGGAAGATACAAGGGGAGGGGAGGGGCGGAGAGGAAGGAGGGGAGGAGAGAGGGAAGGAGAGCGAGGAAAGGGGGGAGGGGAGGGGAGAGGAAGAGAGAGACGCAGGGGGGGGGGGGGGGGGGTGACAGTGAGGCAGGGGCAGGGGATGGATTAGGAGGGGGTGGGGCGGACTATCAAGCAAGAAATTCGCGGCTTCCTTTAAAAACAACATAACATCCCCACCACCGTGCACAGTTTGAGGTAACTGAGTCTCTCTCTCTTCTCTTCTCTCTCTCTCTCTCTCTCTCTCTCTCTTCTCTCTCTCTCTCTCCTCTTCTCTCTCTCTCTCTTTCTTCCTCACTCTCTTCTCTCTGTATCTATCTCTCTTTCCTTCTCTCTCTCTCCCTCTTCCTCTCTCCATCTATCTCTCGCTGCGGTACTGTGTGCGTCACCAGTCACAACAATGGCGACTCGTCCCACAGCTCCTGTTTAAATTGGCATTATAAACGCGACGGACAATAACGCCACGCAGACGTCCTTCAGCAGTTAAAAACGATGCGAAGATGCCCGTTGCTAATGTTTGCATCATTTGCTGCCATGAATGTGATGGCAGTGGATGCTGCCTGGATCTAAAACATACGAAGATCACGCTTTCACCTATGACAACCTAACGTAGTGGTTTACTTTTGGCGCCAATTACTATGTGCAATTTCTGGTGCGCGGATTATTAATGAAATCGACGTATCTATGGATCGAATGTCCGGTGGAGGGAGGCTGTGTAGTGTTCTCTTCGTATTCACACGTTGAATAAATTTCGATACTTCAATAGTAAACACATGGTGACTTTGTGCGGTGGTAGAGCAGCCATATGGTTCGTATAACACTGCGCTGTCTGATATTATAAGGCGTACAGACAGCTCGCCTTGTATATCAAAACCCCCTTCCCCCCCTCCCCCCTCCCCTCTCTGGTTCCGTACCTCTCTCTCTTCCTTCCCTTCCCCCTCTCTGTCCTCCGTCCCTTCTCGCTCGTTCTCTCGTCCCCCTCTCTCCTTTCCTCCCCTTTCCCCTCTCTATCTTTCCCGTTCCCTCTCTCCTCTTCTTCCCTTCCCCTCTCTTGTCTCTCTCCCTCGTCTCCCTCTTCCTTCCTTCCCCTCTCTGCTCTCGTCCCTCCCCCTCTTCTCCTTCCTCTCGTCCCTCCTCTCTCCTTTCCTCCCCCCTTCCTCTCTCTAATCTCCCGTCCCCCTCTCTCTTCTTCCTCCCTTCCCCCTTCTCTGTCTCCCGTCTTCCGCCCTCTCTCCTTTCTCCCTCCCTCTTCTCTGTCTCTCTTTCCCCCTCGCATCTCTCCTTTCCTCTCGTCCCCCCCTCTCTCTCGCCTCCCTTCCCCTCTCTGTCCTCCGTCCCCTCTTCTCCCCTTCTCCCTCCCCCCTCTGATCTTCCCCGCTTCCCGTCTCTGCTCTCGTCCCCCTCTCTCCTCTTCCGCCCTTCCCCCTCTCTATTCTCCCGCTCCCCTCTCCTCTTCCCTCCTTCCCCCTCTCTATTCGCCGTCCCCCTCTCTCTCTTCCTCCCTCCCCCTCCTATCTCCGTCCCCTCTCTCCTCTTCCGTCCCTTCCCCCTGTCTCTAATTCCGTCCCCCTCTCTCCTCTTCCTCCTTCCCCCTCTCTGATCTCTCTCCCCCCCTCTCTCCGGCTTCTTCCCTTCCCCCTCTTCTCTTGTCGCTCTTCCTCCTCTCTCCTTTCTCTCGTCCTCCCTGCTCTCCTCTTGCCTCCCCTTCCTCCGCTCTCTGGGGGGATCTCCCGTTTTTCTCTCCCTCTCGCCTCTTCTCCCTTCCCCCCTTGTTCTCGTCCCCTCTCCTTCCTCTTCTCATCCCCCTCTCTGTCTCTGTCCCCTCTCTCCTTTCCTCGCGTCCCCCTCTCTCCCTCTTCCTCCTGCCCCCTCTCTGTCTCCGTCCCCTCTCTCTCTTCCTCCCTTTCCCCTCTCTGTCTCTCGTCCCTCTCTCCCCTTCTCTCCTTTCCCCCTCGCTGTCTCTCGTCGCCCCTTCTCTCCTTTCCTCTGTCCCCCTCTCTCCTCTCCTCCCCTGCTCCCTCTCGGTTTCCCGTCCCCTCGTCCCTTTCCTCCTCTTCCTCCTCTCGTCTCTCGTCCCCTCTCTCATCTTCCTCCCTGCCATTCTGTCTCCCGCCCCCTCTCGCGCCTTCTCCTCCCTTCTCCCTCTCTGGTACTCCCTCCTTCTCTCCTCTTCCTCCCCCTCTCTGTCTCTCGTCCCCCTCTCTGTCCGCCCCCTCTCGCGCCTGCTCCCTTCTCCCCTCTCTGTCTCTCGTCTCCTTCTCTCCCTTCCCCTCTCTCTATCTCGTCCCCCTCACCCACTTGCTTCGATGTACATCTCGCTTTCTGTGATCCCATCTCTGCCGTATACCCTCTTTTTTCCGTCCCCTCCTCTCGCACCCTCCTCGTACTCGTACTCCTACTCGTACCCGCCTCGTTTGCGTGCTTCGTCGTTCACACCTCCCCAGCACCCCTTCCTATCTCCCTGCCTGCGCCCACTTCGCTGCTGCCGCCTGGCTAGGTGCATCTGCAGCTGATAACGTCGTAGTAAACCAAGTGGGAATGCGATCCGCTCGTGTAGCAATCCATCGTTCTCCTATTCATGAATCCCTCTCGCGCGCTCTCTCTCTCTCTCACACACTCTCTCTCTCTCTCACACTCTCTCTCTCTCTCTCTCTCTCTCACACACTCTCTCTCGCCCCTCTCTCGCCCCTCTCTCTTGTTCTGCAGTTAGTAACTCCACGAGTCTTGGCGAGAGCATCGGGAACACTCGCGCATGCGCGTGTCGTTTTTCTATTCGTTCCATATTTACGGCTGTGATGCGCAAGGGGGTAGCAGCGTGCCACGGAAGATGTGGGCGGGGGAGTGGGAAGGAGTGCCGTAGAGGGTGCGGGATGGGAGGAGAGATGCCGTGGGTGTGTGGAGGGGGGGGGCGTGGTACAATGGGTGGGTGGTGGGTGATGGGAGGTGTGTGGGTGGGAGTGCAGTAGGGTGTGTTGACTGGGACAGTGTTGGTGGATGGGGATGAATGGATGGGTATGTTGGTAGGGTGAATGGATGGAGTGGATTCTGCGCGTGTGACAATATTCTCTCTACTGCAGTACAGTTTCGTTAGAGCATCACGGGCCACATCGCGTGAATATCAAGCTTCACGCTTAAAAACAACCTGTCGCATGCGGAGCATTTCACAGAGAGACAGAGAGACAGAGAGAGGGAGAGCGAGTGAGAGAGAGAGAGAGAGAGAGCAGGGGGAGAGAGCGAGAGAGGGAGAGCGAGTGAGAGAGTGTGAGAGAGAGAGAGAGAGAGAG